GATGTCATGACATCTTTATCCACTCACAATTCCACACACTCACCTGTCTAGAGTGTGCACTTGTTACGGCGAATGCAACCCACACCACTTGAAAGCCACGGCGCGTTGGGTTCCTTGGTAGCGCACGGGGCCGATGGCCTATGCTCTATGCAAAGCCAAATCTTGCCCTCGGTGCATCAAATACCAACTACTATACTACCAAAATCTACCAAACGGTACCATCATCCTCTATCCAAAGTTTTCAAATTGGTGTTGTGCTTATTCAATCTCTATAAGGGCACACCGCACGCTGGTCTGCTGGCAGGCTGCTGCTTGTACATCTTGCATATTCAGGTGTGTCTCCAGACCCAGCGTGAACGAGGATGCCAGCAAGGTTATCATCACCATTACTTCGAAGCATTGGTGTCGCACAAGAAAAAGGGCCATTCCTAGGGCAGAAAAGTCCGGCAAACAGTCGCATCCAAAGACGCCGGGCCACTGAACGGTGGATGGGTCTCAAACCACCTTTGATTTTGAATGGAGGCTGTGCCAAGATACCTCGCAAAGGAGAAAGTGTTGAAGGATCCAGATGGTAGGCACTGGTTGATGCCACGCGAATAGGTTCATTCCCACCTGGGCGAGGCTCGACCAAATGCAATGTCATCCACTTCGTGCATTCGACAAACTTCGTGTCACTTCAATGTAGACGGGGTGTTGGAGACGCGCAAGTCAATGTTTTTCTCCGTCTCTTCTTTTTGTGATCGCCCAAGCCAACCATTCCTTAACCTCTTTCCCATGATCTTCGCACGTCCAAAAAAACCACGAGGCTCACTCTGTCTGCTGCTGGGAGGCTCGAGCCCCGTGGCCGTGGCAGCCTCAATGTACCGGTGCCGTGGCCGTGCCTGTTCCGTCTCACCACTCGAAGGAGCGCTTCGTTGAGTCATCAAGCTGTTGATGACTCGCTAACCAGCAGCTAGTAACCAAAACGTTGGCAATACAGTGGAATGAGACGGTTCAAAACATATGTGGGCGAACGTTGCCACTTAGACTCATGATCAGCTTTGAAATTCGCATCGCCGCATCGGCATCTAAGCCACCCAATGCTGCCAGTTCCAATCTCCTTCAGGATCGCATGAGTCTTGGCGTGCTTGTGCGTGGGTTGGGCCTAGGGTCATCCAAAGAATGAGATGAGGCGGGCCCTGATCTGATGTGGTGAACAAGGTGCAGGAAAAGACCAGGAATTCAGAAGAATAGCACTTGCGTCATTGCGGGGAGATTGCGGGAAGAAGAGCGGCTTGGTGTGAAGCAAAGAAAGCAGCCATGTAGGAGGGGGTTCATGGACCAAAATTGCATGGCGACAAAAGCACAGAAAAATACATAATACATAAGATTCCGGAAGGAGCACAAGCTGGGGCCTGGCCTAACACGGGATCCTATGAGTTGTGGCAGCAAGTGTGAAGGAGATCAATCGACAATGATAGCAAAATATAGCAAATAATGCCCATACAACTGCTTGCAAGCAAGAGCAAAGTTGAACTATGTGACCATGTGACGGCTTAGCATAAATGTTTCATTAATTGCATGTCAGCGAGCCTCAGCATCAGTCTGGATGCCTTGCTCCATCCTGCGGGTTGCGGCCGAGTCCACAGCCCACAGCACTCAAGAAATGTATAGAAATGTCACGATGCAAAGCCCCTTGGAAGTCTGTCACTTGACCAGCATCGCCACCCTTTGAAGTCCTTGGCGGACACACCTCCTCTGGTGGCAGCATCCTGATCAACGGCGTGCGCTTCTGACGTTCGCATCTTCCAATACCTTTGCATCTGGTCTGCCATCTTCACCTCTGTTGTTGTTTTTCACCATTCTCTGGGGCGCTTGGGTCAGCCTCTTGGGTCACCCCTTCGAACTCACCAGGAAAATTTCAAAGTTCGTGGCCCAGACTTCGGACCCTCTTGCCCCAGATCAGGCGACCAGTTGCTCAATTATTAGGTGTGTCTTGTTGGAGGTACTAACAAAATGCACCAACAAGACAAGGCCTTGAAGTCCTGCTCTTTGGGTGAATCTTGGAATCCATGTTTTAATGCCGGAACCCCACAACACTGGCTTTCATGATGTTCGACCGAAAGCTTGCCTTGGGAAAGCTTTTTTGGCAATGCTGCGAAGGCCTTGCAACCGGTGTGCATGACATCGGTGGCTCAGTGTGCTTGGTGACTTGCAATATCAGAGTCCGCCGATGGCTCCTTCACCCCCCTACGGGCTCGGTCCCCGGAATGTCTTTGATGCAAGCCATTGAGGCCATTGAGGCTGAGACTTGAGACCGCTGCAACCGCTGCAACGCGCACAGCTCCGTGAACCACACAGCTCCATGCTCCGGGAACCCGACGAGATTGACTTCGTGGCTCGATGCAAAGCTCCTGCGTGGCGAAGGGCCTGCATCCACCTCTCAGAGTCCATCCTGTCGCGCTTGTGATATACCCCAGCAGGTCGGTTGCGTTGGGTGTTGCGTTCGGGAAGCCGACCCAACTTTTGAAGCAAGACCGCCACGCGCTGGTCATTTGACGTTTGAGGAGGGTCCACCTGCAGTCAACTAAACAGGACTGCCATCTGGCAATGAATGAAACCCCAAACCAAAGCGGAACAGGGACTAGTTAACAAGGTACAACATGGTGCAACCAACTGCCAATCTCTTTCCAGAATGTCACTCAATCAATCCCCCACCCCTTCATGACACCATATGACACCCCTTCAGCTCCTGAGCATCCACGGCTCCAGGCAAGGGGCTTGTCTGAAGATGCCGCCTCACTGCGAGTTCATGGTGTGAGGGAACCGCTGAAGCGTAAAATGTTCAAAAGGATGAGGATGAATCTGGAGGGAAGACCTCCAAAAAGAAAGTAATTGTTGTGTGGTGTTGTCCGCACACGGAAGGGAACCAGTCGTTGGAGGCTAATGATAGTATCTGATAGACCTTCTCCGTTCTCGCCCCGCAAAAGAGATCTCTGCAGAGAGAGCCTTCCACGAGGCAAGTGCGCATGAGGGAAGTGAAGCACGTTTCTATCCACGGTCCTCTAAATGCATATGGAAGAAAGTGAGCCCCCCCGCTTTGCCAGCTGTTCCAGCCAGGCAACCACTGATTGCAAATTAGATATAATTGTATACCTTCCATATCCTTCACTATCCTTCCATATGTTGGTTCACACTGCGTTCCATGGCAGCCCTTCCCACTCTCTACCCAGTTGGCGAGGCTCAAGGGCAAAAGCTGGGTCTGCATCTGAGCTATCAGTTGCTCGACCGGCTCCAACTGGCTGCGAACGGCCTTGGTGGACCATGGGAAAGAGACGTCGGTGACTTCCGTTGAAAAAGTGATCTCTTTTTAGCTGTGTGTCTAATAGCGATGGCCTCCAACCTAATAGCGATGGCCTCGAACCTAATAGCGATGGCCTCCAGCCTACTAGCGATGGCCTCCAGCCTACTAGCGATGGCCTCCAACCTACTAGCGATGGCCTCCAACCTACTAGCGATGGCCTCCAACCTAAGAGCGATGGCCTCCAACCTAAGAGCGATGGCCTCCAACCTACTAGGCCTCCACCCTACTAGCGATGGCCCCCAGCCAAAAAGAGCGATGGCCTCGAGCCTACTAGCGATGGCCTCCAACCTACGAGCGATGGCCTCCAACCTAAGAGCGATGGCCTCCAACCTAAGAGGGATGGCCTCCAACCGATGGAGAGCGATGGCCTCCAACCTACTAGCGATGGCCTCCAACCTAAGAGC